CAAATATATTGAAATAATACGAATACTTTTATTTTATAGAAACGAGGAGAGAAAATCCCAAAGAACCAAGTAAAATGAATGTACCACCTCCTCGATTAACCTACAGACAGTATTTTTTTTTCTGTTTTCCACAGTGACCAATGTTGATTTTTGGTAGCTATCATGTTGTTTTGAATATAACGCAGTCAGTAGGTTTATTCAAATAGTTCACCCTTGCAATTTCAGGTCCTTTCTGTAGGGCTGATTCCATTAATTCCATCATTTCATCACACTTCGAGTTTAACAAGAATAATTACAGAGATATATAGGTGGTTCAAAATCGTTCATTATTGTCTCATTTGAAACGTCTCATGTTGGAAGCCAGAATGATGAATGCAGTGTCCGCAACTCTCACGAGGCGCTTGTTCATTGTCCCATTCCTGAAATATTTATACGAATACACCTATTTTTCCTGGAAATATCCATCGATTGACATACCCCTGCTTGCTGATTCAATTTCTCCCATGGATTTGATCCAAAACTTCTCGCCTACGGCTCGAAAGTTATATTAAACAATGTCATTCGCGAAATTATTAGGCAACAAGCATAAGAATCACCGAATATATCTGGCAATATAGTTCCACATGTTCTTATCTCAACTTTTAATCTACCATCTACCGACATTTAATTGAAACAAATACAGAGTGGTTCAAGATTCAGAATTCTGATCACCCTGTTTCTGTTTTGACCAATAATGAATAGTTTCGACACAAAAAGTCCTTAAAGTTGAAAAATCTCGATTTTCAACACTCAATATCTCTGTAATCATTACCGCGAGACCCCCGAGTGTGATTTATATTTATGAAATCAGTTCTCCAGGAAGAATCTGAAATTGCAATGATATACAGGGTGATCCATTTAAAAAACTGCTGACTGCGTCATATTACAACAATATGATAGCTACCAAAAATCAACAATGGTCACTTTGTAGAATAGAAAAAATTTTAAAAGTCTTGATGAAAAAAATCACTTCTGATTTAGTCAAAAATAAGGTGTTTTCACATATATGTTCAACCCTGTAGCTATGATACTATTTTTTCTGTCATTTTTATTCAATATTCACCGATATAAACGCGCAATTTACTGTAAGTAGGTACTTATTTATTTCAAAGCCCTCTGTACATCCTATAGATAATCTTGATATAAGGTTACTTTTATTCCTCTAGTTAGTTTTAAGTGTAAAAATTGTATATTTTCGTTAAATTGTATGATAATTATCCATCTTTATATTATTATCAATGTTGAAAATCATTATTATACAATATTTTATATTTGTAATGATTGTAATACATGTTAGAATTAAACACGAATAAAATTGTGTTTCAATTCGCCCCCCTCTTCGAACAATATAAAATGGAACGAATGATACCAAAAAGTCCATATAAAATAAACCTCTTGTTGATATAGTCAAACTGGATTTTGATTTGCGTTCCACCAAAATGAAACCTAGATAATAATTTGCATGTGTACATATTTGTCAAAAATTATACAAATTTGCATTGCACTAAAATCCATTTCGCTCTGAAACTGACATCCACATTCAAGTTGTATAACAATAGTATATTGTGTACCAAGTGGGGAAAGTTCACCTTTTTTCACGAAAGTTTGTGGCACGAGCCTGAAGGGCGAGTGATGCAAACACACGAGTGAGAAAAGTACTTTTCCCCACATGTTGCACACTATACTTTTTCTACAACTGCATTTATCCAACGAATCCAAGTAATGTAACTTATTGGTATTCATTTCATAATGAGAAAGATATTATTTCTGTATTTTTTTTCTAGATTCCATAAATTTTTCGTTTATGCCAATTCATACTGTTTTCTTGAAATTTTGCGGAAACAAATCCAACTTTCGCAGCTTTTTCCATCACCTCTGTCTCTGGCGGTATGTATTTATCAAAATCGTCACATCACGGTATATACATCATATTATTTATAATGATTTGTTGGAATAATATTTGATGGAAACTGCGATTTCTATCGAAAGCACTAATCAGAACTACCCTAAAGAATTTAAAAAACTCCTTCTGACAGTTGTGACAACTATTCAAAGCTGAACAGCAGCCAATTAAGTTTTGGGCGATTTTTGTTGATTCTCCATGGAAATGTATGTGGTGTTGGCAAAGTGCCGTGAGAATAGTTATTTGTTTAACTAGGCAGCAAAGTAGTAGATTGACTGCCGAGGCTGAAACCGAGCGTAGCGAGGCTAGGAATCCAGCTAAGGCAGTCAATCTACTTTGCTGCCGAGTTGAACATATAATTTTTTCTTCGATTGGCAGCAAATATTAATTTTGCTGACACATATCAATCAGCAAAGTATTACTTTTCCTGCCTAGGCAGCAAAGTGGGTACTTTGCTGCCTAGGCAGCAAAGTGGTTAGTTTGCTGATTGATATGTATCAGCAAAATCAATAATCCATAAATCGTTTATAATCTCCTTCATATTTCATCCAAGACTTCTCCGGCAACAAATTCAACTCTATATTTTTTGCCACCTCCCTTATTTCTGGAGGTTTAAGTACTTCCAGGTCGCTATCACTGTCCAATATATAATAATCCAAATATACCGATATTTCTTCCACAACTGTCAGAAATTTCATGAATTATCAAACTATAATTAAAGAGTGGAAATTCAAAAGGATGTAAGTGCCAAAAAATTTAAACTGAGATATTACATAAAACATGCCTAAAAAATTGAAATAAAAAAACCTTTTTATAGAAATATGTTTATTGGGTAGGTACTGAATACACAATCACATTAACTACATACATAGTTACACATAAAAAACAAAAACTCATATAAAAAACACTAACTCAAACATGACAACTGCTAGAAGGTCCAAAGTGCCAAGAACAAGAAATCGTGAAAAGGGTCTATGTCCAAAGTAGTCTTTTACTGTGATTCTGGTCTTTCTATGAGATCTTCATAAAACGGAATATATTTCAATGGAATATAGTCCACTATGTTTTTTAGATTTTTGAGCTTCTCTGCTCTGCCCCATAAGAAAAGTACTCTGCTTATCGTGATTTGCAACATCATAAAATTGTTGGAATAATGAGTTTCTCTGGTTGAACGGGTTGAACGATAAAGATTTGCAGGAATATTTACAAGGACAAGTTACCTGCAACAAGAGCATAATGTGAGTATACTTAGTTTACTGATTTTGGGTTAAAATTGCTTACCTCTTGTTCAGGTGGATTTTTTGCCGGTATAAAGACATTTTTATAATTTGTATGTTGCAAGCCACTAACTCTGCTTCTTTTTCTCTCATTTCAAACACTCTCAGTACCATTCTGTCGCCTTTTTACTGCAATATTACCGGCTTGTACATTACCACGTTCGTCCATCTTGTATACTAACAATGTTAATTATTTGGAACTTATACCCTTTTAAAGTACAACAAGTACTGGCGCTTCGACCCTGCGCAGCTTTCTACATCACAAAATGATTACTGCCTATGGCAAATGGCACATTGACCGTTTTGTATGGTATTGGCCTTGGCACATAGACCCCATAATAAGTAAAATCTAAAATTTGGTGAAAGCGGCACTTAGACCCTTTTGAATTTCTTCTCTTCAATTATTATAGACATTTCGATAGCAACCAACCATTTCAACAACTGCGATTTCTATCAAATGAACACTACAGGAAAAATAAAGAGATATATACCATTATAAGCAATCGGAGAAAAAAAATATTTCTCACAGTATGAGCAATACATGGTTTTGAAACTAAGTAAACTATGAGAAATGTGAAACTTTTCATAGCAGTAGCAGAAAAAATCATTATCTGCTCTATGATGTAAGCCATGGAAAGTCACCTCAGTAAGAATTCCTCAGATAGAGGGTGATTATGAACGGTAGAACTGGGTAGGTATACTGAAAAATCTCTTTTTGTGCTATGATTTTCTTCGCTTTTTCGATCTCTTGTAGCGAACGAAAGGAAATTCCTATACTTTTCGAAGAAAAAGACAAAAAAGACAATATTGGTCGGTCTTTTTCTTTGAAAAATATTGAATCACTTATTAAGATCAGAATTCAACAATGGGATCTACCGGCAATGATTACAGAGCTATAGGCTATATAAAGGGTGTTCAAAATCGATATTTTTCAAGTTCAGTAATTTTTTCTGTCGAAACTAGTTGTAAAATCTCGATTTTGAACACCCTATATCCCTGAAATCATTCCAGCTAGACTCCAAGTGTGATGCATTGATGAAATCAGTTCTTCGGGGAGAATCACAAAATGTAATGAAATCTCGAATGAAATACAAAGGTGTTCCATTTGAAATAGCACAGTTGGTGCTTCTTAATTTCGTTAGAAGGGGCAACGCCTCAGGGCTGAAGATATTTTAGAACGATGTCCCCCTCGAAAATGTAGTTGAGGTGTTTCAGAGTTTTTCATGATTCGGTTTTGGCGACCTACAGAGCCTCTGTTTCGTTTTCAAAGGGCCACCCTGTATATATACAGTGTGACCCACTTCTAATGGAAACACCTTACGTAATCGTTGGGTAAGGATCCTAAATTTTGCTGGAGCGAGAGACATATCAAAAATGCACTCTATGACCAAGTAGGGTCATCTTCCGTGATATACACTGCTCGCCAGCGATTTCCGGAAAATGATATTAGGAGCAGGGTTGTTTTGTTTTAACTATTTTGTTGTAATCAACTGTTTTAAACATGTTTTAAACATGTGCTCAAGTTTTAAACAGTTTTTGTTCAAAACAGTTTAAAACATATGTTTGAAACACTTATATTAAACAAGCGTTTTTTTTTCATTTTCTTTATTATTATAATGAATGAAAATAGGAAAAATTCTGAGATACATTATACAAACTTTTCAACATACGTACATAGTACATAATACATATTAATTATCTATTCATTAATAATAAGAATTTGGAACATAGGAAAAATTGGAAAATTTAAAACATTTTGCATACAAGCGTTCACAAATTTCTCACACTCTTTCAATCTCATAATCATCAATCTCATCAGTCACGTCATCACTGATCGAATAAAGTTCTTTGAGAATTGAAACCAACTTAGCCGCTTTGACATTGCCTAGCCGATTACGTAGTTCTGATGAATGGACTGAACCGTATGATGAGAAGAGTCTTTCTATGTTGGCTGACAATGCAATAGCTGTATGAAGCTGTTGAGCAAGTTCCATTGATGTCGTATTTATATTGTTCATAGAACGCCACCATGCCAATGGTTTTACTTTTGAATTCTCATTTTCAATCAGATGTTTAGAAAACATATGTTCAAAGGGTGCACACTTTGCCTGGTAATTAATAATAATTGGAAATGCTTCTGGATGATAGGTTTCTACATATTCCATGCCAGTTCCTATTTGCTCTTAGTTTATTACCTCTGAAGCGATGATCAAGCAAATTTGCCAAAAAATGAGCTGGCGGGGTTGAAGCCATTTCCATACGTTCCTTCACTTTATTCGTATCACTCACCAAAAATTCTCCATTTGCTTGTTCAGTCTCGAATGCTTCTAAAAGTTCTAGCCATATCTCTGTAGCCTCTCCTATAGTGCAAGTGTTTCTTTGGACTTTGTCCAAAGCAACTGAGATATACTTATACTTAAATTTTTTCAAATAGTCTTGGGCATTTGTCTTTAAATTGGTGTCGTTCACAAGTTTTATTATATCCTCAGAATCTATTATTTAGTGGACTAATACTAAAGATTAATAAATCAAAATTTGAATTAATCTCTGAATTAATATTATGTTTGAAAAAAGTTGAATTGAACAATGTATTTTTCTAAGTTCTATTTGTTTAAATCATTAAATTCAGAAACAAAAAAAAACAATGTTCAAAACAAAAAAAACCGTTTGAAACAAAAAAACATGTGTTTTGTATAAAATTAAAAAATACATGTTTTTTTTCAACCCTGATTAGGAGTCAAGATAGGTTAATAATCACTTCGGATTTGGAATCAGGACGCCCAATTCAACTATTCATAGTTTTCCCAGAAAATTTTCAGTTCAGAATAATTAAAATTTTATCTCACTTCTCATGGAAGCACCCCCGTATCTCACGTAATTATTGAGATAGGGTTCTGAAATTTGCGAGTGTATAATCTCTGGCAGGAGGAAGGGAAAGTCCAAAGTTAAAGTCAATTACGTAAGATACGGGGGTGCCTCCGTAAAAAGTGCGACAAAATTTAATTTCTCAGAACCTAAAATTTCCCAGGAAATATATGAAAAGATAGTGAATTGGGCGTCCTGATATCATTTTCCGAAAATTGGGGTGGTTCCATGACTGTTGGCGAGCAGTGTATATCACGGAAGATGACCCCACTTGGTCATAGAGTGCATTTTTGGTATATCTCTCGCTCTAGCAAATTTCAGGATCCTCATCCAACGATTGCGTAAGATACAGGGGTGTTTCCATCTTAAATGGGTCACACTGTATACTGTAAGTATCATATAATTTTGTAGTGGTATTATCTGATATATGTAGTGACTGGCCGTTACCAGCGATTGGTAACGGACTGGCGCCTATTTTAAAAATCGTTTGGTATTAACTACCTTCTATTTCTCTGCGTGTATTCGTGTAATACCAACCGTTGCCAAGGTATTATAAAGCAGTAATGGACAAGTGAAAAAAATAGTTATTTATTATACAAGGGAAAAAAGTAGTAGCTAAAATCTAATATTTTCTCCGTGTATAATAGGTACACTATTTTTTTCGGTGACAGAAGAAAGGACGAATCAATATCGAGAAGATATTACATTATTTTGAAATCTGAAAATTATCGACGTGAAATTTTAAGTTTTTAACAGTAGGGACACCTGCGTTCTAGACATCTTTATCATTCTTTCGAAGTAGGTAATCAAATATCTGATGTCACTTCTGTCAGTCTAATTCTGTGATTTGATTCCAAAAAATTGCGAATTTAGTGGTTGTTTAGTAATATACGTAACCGCGAAGTCGAATGGAAGATGAAAGGACTTGAAGTTCTTCCTCGGAGATGGTATTATTGACTCATTTTTTGGAACTATATGTGATATATATCCGGGAAAAAAGTAATTTATGAAAAGTGACATTTTATAACCTGCCAACAGGGATGAAATGCCAAACTTTTTTCCCGTCGCAGAAAAAAAATAACTTTTTCCGTCGACCTCGTATAAACGAAGAAGTTTGATGTTTATGAAATCGTTCACTAATGACCCCTATTAATGATCAATTTGTCTATTAATGCACGATTGTTTTATAGGCAACCAAACATACACCGCGTGCATTGCTTGTTTATGCTATAACTTACGGAATCTGCATTTGAATCGAAAATATGGATTTCATCGAAGATTTTCCGTTAACGGGTTCACCTTTCCAAGTTTCTGAATAGTTATTTGTTTGACTAGGCAGCAAAGTAGTAGATTGACTGCCGAGTTGAACATATAATTTTTTCTCCGATTGTTCATAATGATATGGGAGAATATTGTATTCGCGAATCAATACAATTCCCACAATCTCTTTATTCTTCCTGTATAGTGTTCAATCAAAATAAAATTTGATAGAAATCGCAGTTGTTGGTTTGACAATTCATGAAATTTCTGACAGTTGTGCGAAAAAATATTGGTATATTTGAATTATTATATAATGGACAGTGATAGCGACCTGGAAGTATACTTACACCTCCATTAATAAGGTAGGTGGCAAGAAATATAGAGTTGAATTTGTTGCCGGAGAAGTCTCGGATGAAATATGAAGGAAATTATAAACGATTTATGGATTTTTAATTTTGCTGATACATATCAATCAGCAAAGTAACCACTTTGCTGCCTAGGCAGGAAAAGTAATACTTTGCTGATTGATATGTGTCAGCAAAATTAATTATTGCTGCGAATCGGAGGAAAAAGATTTTAATCCCTGTTTTCTAACACAAGGAATTTATTTTCTATGTTGATCATTTTGACAAATGTCGAATGTCACTAATGTCAGTAACAAGGCTACTGGTGATTCTCAGTAGTTTCCTGATGAATGATGAATTCGCCAACCGAGTGTTCTGCATTGCAGGAGAAATGAGAAATATAGTCGACGGAAAAATTTTGTTACCAACTCGTATATTAAAAGGCGATTAATACACTAGTTGATTAAATAACTATAACGTATGTCTTATAATATTTTTTATTTTTCATTTTGCAAATCTTGAGTTACAGTTCAAAAAACAAGATGGATCACTATTCACTTAGTTATTCGATGAAATATGTTTGTGTATCAATTAATAGAGTAATTATGTTCTGAAGGGTTGAAGCAGGTTGAAGTGTACAGTCGTATTAAAAAAAAAGCGTGCAAGTAAATTGGAGGGTGAAATTAACGTCATCCTATTTGCGTGAAACGGGCTATCGGGAATGAATGTTTACCAAATGTTGACAGTAGAGTAATCATAGGTTCTCAAAAACACAAAGCATTGGCTGAGCCAATTTTACAAAACGAGAACTAGAATGCCGAAATCTTCTATGTTTGATCCTTTTACGCTTTTTTATTGAATACGACTGTATATCCTAAGGTTGATCTGCAAGTTATTTTTCGAAATTACGGTTTGCCTGGATCCCTTTGCGAGTGCGATCCGGACACGGCGATACGGTAACTGGCTTCGGGGAGCGCAGCTTGGGAGCTGCAATCAGACAGGGCGACGCAGCTGTTGGTCGGCGGGTCGTGGTAGAGGGAGCCACAATGGCAGGGGGAGCCCTGGTCCAATTGGGCGCCGGGACATACCATGCAACCTGAAAGGCATTTGAACTCTTGGGACTGTCAGAATAAGACCGACAAATTCCGTATACGGAATCCTCACCTAGTTCCTATTAGAGTTCCTGAATGTACTTGACACTGCTGTTTTGACGTTCTTTGTATATTAGAGTACGGACACTATGACAAGCACTGACAATCAGACATCACCACAAATAAATGGGTTGCGTGCAAGAACTGTCAGATGACCGACCCTGGAGGCACAACATTGAAACACAACCTCACTTTTATTATTCGTTTACAAGTGATTGAAATAGTTTTTCACATTGTGCTGTTGTACAGGGTGGCCAACTAAGAATCCAGAGTTCGATACCTCTGTTGTCTTGAGAGATACAAAAAAAAATTTTGAATTCAAATTGAAGTAATAACAGAGCTTCACATTTCAAAATTTCTTTGAAATACACAGGGTGTTCCGTAAGGTCACAGCACATCAAAGCTATGTTTTTTTCATTGGAACACCCTATATTTTATTTCATTTTTGAATTCTTCCTGAAGATCTGATTTCAACGACGTATCATACTTGGGTCTAGCAGTGAAAGTTACTGACATATAGGGTGTGAAAAATCGAGATTTTCCAAGTTCAGGATTTTTTTCTGTCGAAACTGTTCATTATTCGTCAAAACGGTTTACATGTCCCTATCTCAACTTTTCACTCACTATCAATTGGTGATCAATTGACATTTAATTGAAACAAATTATAAATTTAGATTTTTTGACCACCTTGTATCAATTTCACATATATCGATCATCGATAAGTCAAAACATATCGATAAGTTTGATATATCGATATTTATAGCTATCGATACATCGTGTTATCGATATATCAATAGTTATCAATATATTGACAGTATAAAATTATGAATAATCAAATTTATGATTTTACTTCTGACAGTTACACTGTGATTACAATATAGCATGATTTATTCTTCTATATAAATTATTCTTCCAATATTTTATGAATTTGATAACAGAAACCGCTGGAACTAACTAAAGTTCTTAAACTTACTGTCATCTGATTGAGCGAAAATTTCCAGCAATTGGAAGAGAATCACCACAAAAATGTATCTCATTGCACACTTGATTAATCTTAACGAATTCTCAACAATACATTTTATTGAGCTGGAAACCTATAAATACCTATTGAGATTTGTGGAAACGTGAGGAAAAGTCGATATCCTTTGGAATTCATTAATCGACATTTTCGTTTTTTCTGCTCGTTTAACGGATAATCAAATATCAATTATTGGATGAACAAAACTGCAAGTTTGCACGTTACAAAAAGATAAAGAAAATTGATTTCTCACAAATTTCATTTATTCAAAGATGTTCTGCAAATTGTGGCATATTCTCCAGAAATCTCGGCATTACAGACGAACTCGACAAGTCCAGTCACATCCATAACCCAGGTAACACAAACCTCTCCGCGAGATCTCAGAGGGATCAACATAAGGATATCATATGCGAGCTCCTATCATGAGCTAGTCAAGATCGCTATGTACTGTAACTGAGCGAATTTCTTCTTGAACTTCCAAGTAGAAATCTTCCAAACATCACCTTTCAGTTATCGATTTCATTTCCACAACGAATTCCCAAAGTTATTACGAAATTAACCTGAATCAGCAATTCTTCCTGCGAATTCCTCAAACTAGCTGGAACGTAACCTCAACAAGAGATTCTTGTTGCGAGTTTCTAAAGTTATCACGAATGTACGAAGCCCTGGAAGGGACACATAAAATAAAAAAAATGAAAACTCTTCAAAATTCCGACTTATAAGTCGGAATATTGGATGTAAAATTCCGAATAATATCTCGGAATTTTAAAATTCCGAGATATAAGTCGGAATTTTGATGTTAAATTCCGAGTTATAACTCGGAATTTTAAAATTCCGAGTTATAACTCAGAATTTTGGAGAGTTTTTATTTTTTTTATTTTATGTGTCCCTTCCAGGCCTTCGTACGAATGTAACGTAAACGAGATATTCTCACTGCGAGTTCGTACAGTTGACTCGAACGTAATCTGAATCAGAAATTATTCTTATAGTGAGTTCTTCAAGTCATCCCGAGGGTATCACAAACGAGAAATACTTGGTGCGAGTTCCTATAAAGATATCCCGAACGTTAATAATAAGCGATAGCAAAATAGCAATATACGATTCTAAAATCTCAAAAAAGACTCCCACCAACATTACAGATACAGGGTGATCAGAATTATGAATCTAGAACCACCCTCTACTTTTTCCAATTTGATGTCAGTAGATATAGTGATTCAAAAGTTAAGATAGGAACATGTGAGTCGTTCTGACCGATGATAATAATTTCGACACAAAAAAATTCTAAAATTGAAATTTGTTGTATCATTCCCGCTAGACCTCGAGTGTGATGCATTGATGAAATCGGCTCTCCAGATAGAACCTGAAACCGATCATCTGCCGATATCTTGGAATTCGAGCACCCTATACATATATATGAAAACAATTTTAGGTGATAGTTCTCATGAAACCATATATAACTCGATATATAACTGTTATTGTATTCGATTTTTTTCTATATATCTGACGGTTTGGCTAATATTAAAGGAGGACGCACTATTGACTCACCTGGTATATGATACTTTTCCATAATCAGATGTGAGAGGTTGAAAGTGAAAAATATATTTTGGCATATACAAACTGAGATATCTTGTAAGACCCGTACCTATCGGCCTGATGAACTTCAACGCTCTGTAACTTCCTCTCAACCATATGTAGGTACTCATAAGGGTAGGTCGTGGAAGGAAATTCAGAATGGCTGAAAGAATAACTGGACTTCAGGTTACTGATGAGGATATGATATCCGAAATGAGTTTTAATCGAGTTAAGTCATATGACCTATCTGTGATAGATATAATTTCCATATCACTGATACGAATGATAGTATATACTTCTCCTGTACATATTGGTAAGTTATATTTTTATATCATAATACATTATTTTATCCGATTTGAGAGATGTCAATTCTCAAATTCAGAGGATTTTCATTTTTCATGCTCTCTTTTTGGTTGTTCAACAGGTATAATTCAATGTTCGACGTGGCAAATAGCCAGGAAAGTAGTTGTTTTCTGTTGAATATTCAGAATGATAGCATGGGCATATCTTTATGTGAAGGAGAATGCGAATTCTATACTAATATAATTATCCTTTTTTTGTGTTCAAAAATATATCTGAGAATATTCCTCTTCAATAAGAATACATGGTTTAGATATGGTCTGGGAAACATGGACGTCGACAGGACGTCCCTGCAACGTCATGAAACTGACGTCTCATTTTACCCTGCTAAGTGACATTCACTCGACGTCGAGATGATGACGTGATTATCACATCATAGAAAATACGTCATAGTGACGTCATAAATTGGTGTGTGTCGTCTCTGGCAAAAAATCACCAATTAGTGACGTCACAGTGACGTGATAATTCGTCATCTGGTCGCCTGGGTTAGTATTCGAATTCCTTTCTACATTTTGGAGTATAGGAAATTTCAATCAACATATACCCTCAAATACTTTTTATTTTTCATTTTATGAATCTTGTGTTACAGTTCAGAAAACAAGAACGATCACTCAGTTGAACTGGTTACTTTTTCATGCCTGGAGCCATTTCCGAACGCGATGGGCCTACTTCGATGCGTGAACTGAAGTCCGAAGCTTCGGGCAGCGCAGCTTGTAAGCTGCAATCAGACAGGGCCACGCAACTGTCTATCGGGGGGTCGTAGAAGAGGGAGTCACAAAGGCAGGGGGGGGCTGGTTCCAATTGGGCGCCGGGACATATCCTGCAATCTAATAGGCACTTTATTTAACTCATGGTTTTCAAAGTCAAAGTCAAATAGAAGATTATTTCATTAGGATCAACAGGGACACTTTGTTTGACAAGCGAATTTTGCATTTGCGAGGCGGAGCGTTTAGCGAAGCCGAGCGAAAGCAAAATTTGCGACATAATTGGGGTATCCAGGGGTGGTTGTCCAGTGGACATCCGGCCCGGTACATCCATAGGTTATCCTATTCGTGTCCCTGGAATATCTGATATCTATTCACATCAGAGTCATTGACTTTCATCAAAATATTGAGTTGAATTTTCATGAAAAAGTTTGGTTTTTTTCCGGTAAATAATTGTAATGAAAATAAAGAAAATTGTCTCAAAACTTCTCAAGAAATGACCATTTTTCGTAAAACAGAAATCGTAAATGCATAATCCCCTCATTTTTAAACATCCACGAATGATAATAATAATTATACCCAAATCCTAACAAAGTTGTATTTATTCAGGTTTCTGCAGTTTAGTCCTGTTTAAAAATCTGTTTGGCACATAAATCTTCAGAAGGCATATCAGCCAATGGATTAAGGTGCGTGCCTGATAAGCTAAAAGTCCCTGGTTCAAACCCTTCTCGACCTAATTTTTTTTCTTTTGTCGAAGGGATGTCCCTGGAATATCCTTGCGACCTCCTAGGGATATCCCAGATAGCACACACTCGCCTAAGGTCATCCTCAATGTGTCGCCAAACGCCTGGAGAGGACGTTCTATTTTCTCCAACCTAAGAACATCATCAGGCGTAAATTTAGCGCTGTAATTGTCCTAAATGAGTTCTTTCAGTGACAGCCTGAGGATGTAAAGAATTTCGTGCCTACGGACGTCTTCAGATGACATTCCATGAAATAACGTGTCATCGATGACAAAAGAAAGAAAAAGAAGAACTAGAATTGAGGTTATGTCTCATGATAGTCATGATTTGTTCAAGATACATCATAATATATTAATGATTATATCAAAATTATTAGAGTATTCATTGAATACCTTCATCAAATTTCTATTTCACAAAATGATTGCGAGAAGAACTTATTGCACAGAATTAAAAGATAACAATAACAAAAGGATGATAATCTCTGTTGATGACATTTCTCTCAGGTAGCAAGAAACAATGGTGAGTAAATACTAAATAGAATCATTGATAGTACCGGACATGAAATATTGATACATTCATATACATTATTTATTGTTTCAGGAGGTTATTGAGAACACAAACTTGATGATATCATCATAGCAAACATGTTTCATTCCAAGATAGCTTTGCTTCTTCGGAATCTATAAAATATTGTATGGAAGCTTGAACTTCCAGTATGAATTCAATAAAGGTAGGTACCTGAATCAAATCATTGATATAGTAGGTACTGGACATGAAATGATAATAGGTTAATTATTTGTTTCAGATGAAGTTATTGAGAATACAAGATTGATGATGTCATCAGAGCAAAGATGTTTCATTCCAAGATATTTTGGCTTCTTCGAAATCTATGTGAGATTGCGTATGCATGTTTGCACTTTCAGTATATTCAATAAGGGTAGGTACCTAAATAAAATCATTAATATAGTAGGGACTGGAACATGAAATATTAATAGGTACATTATTTGTTTCAGGAGGTTATTCATAACACAAAATGATGATATCATCAGGGCAGAGATATTTTATTCCAAGATATTTTGGCTTCTTTGGAAATTATGAAAGATTGTACATATGCAGACTTGAACTTTCAGTAGATTCAATATAATGGTTGGTACCTATAACTACATAAATCATATCATTGATAGTAAGTACTGGACATGAAATATTAATACATTGTTTGTTTCAGATAGTTTTGCTTCTTCAGAATCTATAAAATTTTGCATGCAGGCTTCAACTTCCAGTTGATTTTGCATCAGGAATGTCCAGAGTTCAGAAATCAGAGAAAACATGGAGAAATATAACTACCAATAGGCAATAACTTCTAGTAGTGATCAACAAGAAGCTGAAATACATTTCTTCAAAAAGGAAATTGAAATTTTTCAGAATAAGTTATAAATAATAGAATGTAAGTTTTTCATTTGGTTTTTCATTCGAACCTATTATAAATAGAGGGAAATTTTGCAAATATCATGAGATCCATATTATTTTGAAGAAATTATCATTTGCATAATACAAGGTGAGTCAATAGTGTGTTATCCTTGTATATTAGCCAAACCATCAGATAAATAGAGAAAATTCAAGTACAACAGTAATAGGGTTTCATGAGAACTTTCACATTAAATTGTTTTCATATCTGTATAGGGTGTTTGAATTCCAAGATATATTGACTGATGATTGTTTTTTTTTCCAAATGGGTCACCCTGTATACTATTGCATTTTTAGGTTCTCCCTGAAGAGCTGATTCCATCAATGTATCAAACTTGGGGTCTAGCGGGAATGATTACAGAGATATAGGGTGTTCAAAAACAAGATTTTTCAATTTTAGGATTTTTTTTGTGTGGAAACTATGCAATATTGGTTAAAACGGCTCACATTTCCTTATGAACTTTTGATTTACTATCTAATGACATTCAATCGGAACAAATAGAGGGTGGTTCAACATTCAGAATACTGATAAGCTTATTGTATCTGTTCCAAATAAATATCAGTAGATAGCTAATCAAAAGTTAAGACAGGGACATGTGAGCCGTTTTTGACCATTAATGAATAGTTTCAACACAAAAAATCCTACATTTGAAGAATCTCGATTGTCAACACCTTATAATATCTCTGTAATAATTCCCACTAGACACCAAGTGTGATGCATTGATGAAATCAACTCTTCAGGGAAAACTCAAAAATGTAATAATATACAAGGTGTTCCATTGAAAAAAACCAATCATCAACCGATATCTTGGCATTCGAACACCCTATAGATATGAAAACAACTTTAGGTGATTGTTCTTATGAAACCCTATTACTGTTGTACTTGAATTTTCATTTTATATATCTGACGGTTTGGCTAATATCGGAGGAGAACACACTAGTGACTCATTCTGTATACGAATAATATTCTCCCACAAATCTTGAACCTCCTTGAAACATCATCAAAAACCGCCTCAAGTTGTTACTATGATGTCCTGAGGTTCTCTCAAAAGACTTTATAGGGATGTTCTGAGACGTTATTAGTATGTAGAGAATGGTAACAGGAGGACGTCTTGAGAATGTCCTAAGGCTCGCTCTCGACGTCCTGAGGACATGATTGTGAACGCCCCAGAAGGGCCTCAAAAGGAATTTGTGCTATCTGGGATCCTTTCTTCGTTCTTGGTACATCCAGACGGAAATCCCTTGAATACTTTTTTTGTCAGCCAGCAGATGTCCCTGGGACGTCCCTAGTATATGTACTCTGTCCCGACAAAGGATATCTCTGGGATGTCCTTGTATAAAATTAGGGACGTCCCTGGGAAGTCCCTAGGATGACAAACGGCGACGGCTTGGCAGCCATATCGCCGACAATCGCACCGAGTCGGCCGCCCCACAAAAGTCAAAGGAAAATATTTGCACTCCAAGTTTCGGCAATACATAGGTCAGATCAATGTTCGGACGCAATGTTCCCCGTTTTTCATGTGATAAATATCAGTATAATTTCAATAATAAAAATTTCGAAAATTGTACATAGCTCTGACAAGAAAATGATTTCCGACAGTGAATTATATAGTTTGATTTTGTAAATCGACATAATGAAATATGAAATTCCACTCAAACAGACCCATTTAGATTCAGTTCTAGGGTAAAATACACTAAGGTGACAACACTGGTCCGGGTTCGTGAATTTCAATCAAATTTATGAGCAGCTTATATATTGATATCCGCTGACCAGTTTATTCCACAATCGCCAAAAATGGAAGCATATATTGTTGAGACATAAAATTTTGTGATTCACTTCAATTCGATTTCTATAAACTTTTTTCATGATCTCACGTCCGTGATGCGCTCGTTAGAAGCACATCCAGTACAACTATTACTAACAAATTCGAATTTACCGCCATTCGTGAATTAAAAAATGAGTGATAAATGTTTGCGTGTTTGCTATTGCCTCCGAACACCTTGAACGTGCAAAGGCATTCTTGAACAAATAACAAACTTTTCACATTTTGAGCTCCATCTAATGGTACATCATCCAGTTCGCGCAAAACGTACTAGATTAGATGCTTTTAGAGCCGACTGCTGCGACGGTACCTCCATCTAGCAGAGAGTACCTGAACTACGATATTCAAGTTTTCTACCATCTAATTTAGAGAAGATATATAGGCCTATTGTTTACATAAATTGAAGATAAAAAAGGCTTTCATCTAAATGGTTACATTTCAAGAGCTGAAATTCTAGTGTGGGTTGCCCAAAATAATAACGCAGGGTATGAGTGAATATAACGTTATTCTGAGACACAAAATTTTACAATGTTTACATCTTTTTGATCTTCTGCAGCTTTCTTAATCGAACGAAATTTGCCTTCAAAACTATCCAAACCGGAGTCGGAACTTTCGTCTTTATGATGATTCAATCTATTTGGCAATCGGACTTGTATGTAATAACGCCGAAAGTCATTTCATAGTAGAGGTCTGCATTCCAGCCATTGTGAAATGACCTTGGTTACGCCCCTCTTAAATCCTACGTTTCTAGACGACCACTAGTCTCCATAGGGCGTTCGGTATTTTCTTTTAACTATGGCGAGATGAGGTTTGTACGTCATTAGAGGGTCCATTTTCAGAAGGTTCTATTATTTATGTCCAAAAATAAAACATTCCAGTTGATTTTTCGATCGAATTATGTCGTCAATCATTATTTATGTATAAAAGGATCATTATAAACATGGTTTGAGTTGAAAGTTCCTCTAAGGTGTACACGCCCATTGGTCACATATGGCACTCAATCATTTTTGAAGACATGATAGGTACTTACTGCCATCTGATTGAGCGAAAATTTCCAGCAATTGGAAGAGAATTATCACGAAAACGAATTTCATTGCACACTTGATTCTTAACAATACCTACCGTTTGTTAGATTTTATTGAGCTGGGAACCTATAAATAGGTATATCAAGGTTTGTGGCAACGTGAGGATAGGTCGATTCATTGGAATTCATTTATCGATATTTCCATTTTTCTGCTCGTTTAACGGATACTCAAATATCAAATATTGCTTTTGGGGGTATGATAAATTGACATTCATCATACAGGGCGTGGAAAGAAATTCTGAATTGAGACTCTATCACGAATCTGCGATTAGAGGTCTATAAAAATCACAAGTTTCCATCGTTCAAGTTTGAACCCCCTAATTGAATATTCAGAATGATGTGTTCATGTACATATTTCTGTCTGAAGGAGAATGCAAATTCTCAATTTCAGATGTACTTATATTTATTTTCAAACTCTTATCGTGTGTGTTCAATAGATATAATTCAATGTTCGTCGTGGCATATATCCAGGAAAGTAGTTGTTTTCTATTGAATAAACTGAAAAAGAGTATTAGATATTCTCATCACATAGAGAATGCGAATTCTCGATGTATTGCTTCATATAAATGTTGTATGTTCATAATTTATCTGAGAATAGTCCTTTTCAACACTCTCATACCCAATCAGGGGGTTCAAACTTGAACGATGGAAACTTGTGATTTTTATAGACCTCTAATCGCAGATTCGTGATAGAGTCTCAATTCAGAATTTCTTTCCAAGCCCTGTATGATAAATGTCAATTTATCATACACCCAAAAGCAAAAACTTCCAAATGACAGGAATAGAATGTCAACAAATTTTCTCAGATGTCATTTTGTTAAAGTTTTACTCGATTTCAGTTGTATTATAAAGAGATGAAAATTGTGTATATCATGAAGAATGGCTGTAAGAATAAGTGGACATCATGGTTACTGATGAGGATTCAGAAATCCGAAATGGTTTCATTGCAATAAAGTCATATAACCTCTGTGTGAGAGATAATATTTCCCATATCACTGATATGAATGATTATTTTTGGAATTCCTCAAGCTCATCAAGATCAGCGTATATGCCAGTATACTTCTCCTATACATTTCAATTTTTATTTCAATGCTGAATATATTGGTAAGTTATATTTCTATATCATTATACATCATATTATTCATACTATTTGAAGAAGAATATCAATTCTCAATTCCGGAGGATTTAATTTTTTATTTTTCATGTTCTCCTATTATTTCAATGTTTGACGTGGCAAATAGCCAGGAAAGTAGTTGTTTTCTGTTGAATATTCAGAATGATGTGTGCATGTACATATTTCTGTCTGAAGGAGAATGCAAATTCTCAATTTCAGAAGTACTCATATTTATTTTCAAACTCTTATCGTGTGTGTTCAATAGATATAATTCAATATTCGTCGTGGCATATATCCAGGAAAGTAGTTGTTTTCTATTGAATAAACTGAAAAAGAGTAGATATTCTCATCACATAGAGAATACGAATTCTCAATGTATTGCTTCATATAAATATATATCCATTTTTGTATGTTCATAACTTATCTGAGAATATTCAGAATTGATCAAAAAATTTTCTATGAACAATAGTTCGATCTCGATCAGTGGAGGAGCTACAGGGGGCCAAAGTTCAATAATTTGTTTCTACCAATTTAAATATCTCGCTCACACTTGAAGATAACAATTTGAACTTTGGTGTGGTTAATACTTCTTAAAAAATCATCGTTTAAAGCATTTTAAATATTTTTAATATCCACCAGGGTTGAAAGTTCTTGAGGGTGCAGGATTCTTTATCCCTCCCAAACTTTTTCATAGTACGCTTCTGACATCTTTCTGTTCCTAAATTAGGTGGTTCCTTCAATTCAGAGGCATTTTCATTCTCAAATTTTCTTCGAGAACAGATGATTTGCCCCAGAATGTCACTGCGTTCAACAAATGTTTCTATCAGGGAGCCTAAAAGAAAAATCCAGTAGGTTGTCAGTGACACTTTGTTTGAAAAAATGTTTGAAGGAAAGAAATAAAGATATATTGAAAAACCATCGAATTTTTACTCATCTTTGGACGTTTCGGGAACAAATCTGCTCCCGTTCTCAACATGAAAATGAAAAAAATTTTTCTTTGGAAGTTGTGCTCTGCTTATATCTCGACACTTCTCAGTGTCCTACTGATGTTGGCATATGAATGAGTGATTTCAGTCTACAAATGAGTTACAGGATGTTTTCATTATTTGATATTGAATCTACCATTTTCATGTTCAGTTTTCAGTAGTAAAAATCATGTTCTATCTATATCAACTGAACAGGAAGCATTTTTGGAAAAAAAAAATTATTATCAGCCTATGTAAAACTCTTCCATATATCGTTAGTGATTTTGGAAAAAAAATAAGCACCTGTATACAAAATATCTCTTCCTCCCCCAGTTCAATTTTATTATCATCATTAGTCAGAGATAAATCATTTTTTGTTCGGAAATTATTCGGCTAGCATCATGATTCAACTTATTAGTCATTCATTCGGGACCAGGTGGTAAATCAAGACAGTCTTTTATTAGATGTCATCACGTATGGTCGAATTTTGTGATCGACATAGAAAAATACGCGAAAAGAATTATTTATCGTTCCAAACTGAGTGTTCCCTAAAAACTGAGTGATCGTATTGATTCGTATATAGTGTTTTTGTATTCCTCATTCGATTCAATAATAATAATATCGGGATCGTGTGTTGTTCTAGTGTTTCGTGTTGCTTCATCAAAGCCTCACTTTTTTAACGCTGGTGAGTGTATAGAAGTTCTCTCAATTTCTCCTCATATTTCTCTGTATTCATTAAACTTCATTACCCTATACAGGGTATGTCACGACGAGCTTACACTATCTTTAAATCGAGAATCAGTCGGGAAAAATCCATGAAAATGTGCATGCTTATACTTTGGAATACGCTCTTCTCATTCAAGATATGTTCGACAATGCAGTGTTGCCGCTTCTACTAGAAAGTAGTAGCAACATTGATATTTCGAACGGAACACCCTGTATTTTATCGCATTTTAAGATTCTCCCTGAAAAGCTGATTCCATCGATGTATCATACTTGGGGTCTATCGAAAATGATTACAGGGATTTAGGGTGTTCAAAATCGATATTTTTCAACTTTAGGATTTTTTGTGTCAAAAATATTCATCATCGGTCAAAAGAGCTCACATGTCCCTATCTCAACTTTTGTTCCACTATTTACTGATATTCAATTGGAACAGATACAGGGTGGTTCAAGATTCAGAATTCTGATCACATGCATATTTTCATGGATTTCTCCCGACTGCAGATTCTCGATATAGAGATAGTATTTTCTCCGATCAAGGAATACTTTCTTCTGATTTCCGTGCTTCCTGTTGGAAACTGTATATCTTTTAAGAATTTACCATCCTCAATAACTGTGATACAGAACGTCAGGTCATAACTTTGGAACCACTGTGTATAATCGATTCATACTTGGTAGGTATATTCAACTCATATTTCTCATCAAAACTAAATATGAATCGAATTCAGAATCCAGGTCCGTCTTCAGGCAAAACAAAAAACTTCTTTTTTTTAACAGTGCGCATCCAATTTGAAAAATAGAATTTTCTCGTTTTTCAAAAAATCCAATTTTATTACAAAAAAATAACCAGTCCTCAAATTTCAACTCAATTATGTAAACTATCGATGGATTTCGTTCCATAGAACAATTTGTCAATTGTTTTAGATATTTTCGAGTGCTCATTAAATTTTCAGACACACAAATTAATCAATTATTTTACACCTGAATTTTTCGTAGATTCATATTCCGAAATTATTCATTTTAGTATTGTCAGTAGTTTTATATACATATATGTTATACGTCTCCGAAGTTTTTGTGATTGCTTAACACCGGAGTTGTGTCATCTCATTTATTTTTATATCTATCCATTTTGATCATTTTTTATATAAATATTTTACACTCTTGAATTTTTGTACCTACTAGTTTTATATTCCAAAATTATTAATCTTAGTATTTTCAATAATAGCTCATCAAACGAAATTCATACTTTTTCACCACGTTCAAGTAGCATTTGCTGCTACTGTGGGTTTTCTAATGTTTATTTACCTAATGTTAACTTGCTATCATTATTTCTTCCATTGTATTCTGATTCTGACGATATAAACATATAATTATTATACCAAATGTCAATTTGGATGCGCGCTTATAAAAAGTGGACCACATTGTTCATTATTTTCCTCTTCTTTCCAGTTAACAAAACATATCTTTATCTTACGAAAATATTACTGTCATTATATCCGTGTTCAATACTTCATCTTATATTTTGTATACTATACAGGGTGAGTCATGAGGAACTGTACATACTCCTATCACGAATAGAGGCCCCTGAGGGGAATACCTAATGTACATCAGAAAGTTTCTCCTTTACTTCTTTTCCAATATATAGGGTGGATTATGGGATTTGGTAAAAACATCTTCTGTTCATAACTTTTCAACAGCTTCTTTGATTCGTCTGATTTTTTCATGGAATATTCCGCAACTACCCTCTAATCGACTGACTCATCCAGAATCCGGAAAATCCAGGACGGTTCTTGGAAAATTTTTATAGTTCAGTTTATAGCAAAAAGTTCATCCTGTATATCGTTTTTGTAAAGTATGACATGGAATTTTTTAAGGTCAACAACAAACATCACGAATGAAATATTCCAAATTTTTCTCACACTTCCACTGTAGTTTGAAAAAAACTATGAATTTTATGAAAAAACGAAAATTTGGCAAAAAATTTATTTGGGAATTGATGCTTTGCAACCCATGTATTTTACGGATAAAAGTGAGACTTACATTTTCAATGCCTCAGCTCAATGGAAATCAACATATCATTTTATTTGTAGGCCTGGATTCAGTGATTAATATTTTTTTTGTGGAGGATAAATAATAATCACCCTGTGGATCTTTCGCAGATCAGTGGATGGGGTATCTGAGAAAATGTTGATGGCCATCGCTATGAATAATATTATGATTTCAATTCACAGTTTTATCTATTCGATTTGTTTTATTTAATTAATTTAGTCACTTATTTTCCGTACTAGAATGATTATCCGCCTTTGTCAGTATAGCTTTTGAAAAATAATTATGAATAAACCTTTATTTTCTGTTCGACTATCTTGAATTATTTGAATCGATGGCCATCAACATCTAAACAGATACCCTATCCCCTGATTTGAAAACGATCTACAGGGTGATTATTACCCTCCACAAAAAATTGAATGACTAAATCCAGGCCTGGAAATGAAAGAACATGTTGATTTCTATTGGGCTGAAGCATCGAAAATGTGAGTCTTACTTTTACTTGTGAAATTTTTGCGTTGCGAAGTGATTATTTTCGAATAAATAAGTTTGTTGTCAAACTTTCGTTTTTGCTTGAAATTTATCTTTATCTCCTCCCCCCGTATAATTCCATTATCATCATTAGTCATAGATAAATCATTTGTTTGGAAATTAATCGGTTATCAGCATGATTCTATCCATTAGTCATTCATTCGGGACCAGGTGGTAAATCAAGACAGTTTTATATTAGATGTCATCACGTATACGGTCGAATTTGGTGATCGACATTGAAAAATACGCGAGAGGAATTATTTATCGTTCCAAACGGAGTGTTCCCTAAAAAATGAGTGATAGTAATGTGTTTTTGTATTCCTCATCCAATAATTCGTATCGCGATCGTGTGTTGTTCTGGTGTCTTGTGGAAAATCGAAAATTCCGAACAATGGAATTGCAGAAATCATTTTTTAACTTTTTCACGCTGGTGAGTTTTTTTTTATTATTTCATTATGAATGACAATATAATCTGATAGGTATTTTTAGCCGATACCACTCAATACATCTAGAAATCTTAGAGTAGGTACTCCTTTGATTCATTTTCATATACATATACCTACGTATTTTTTGAGAGAAATGTATGCGATTAGAACAAACACAAACCCGAAAAAAATTTGTCAATCCGTATCGCTGACTGTGCTAGACTAGGTACCGCAACTGCCAATTTTCACAGAGAAGTTTTCGAAGTCGTCAAAATTTCTTCGAAATGGTCACACAAGATTTGTCAAACTCTTATTATTATCCATATACTCAGATTGAAAATTTGTCTCGAAATACTCTGTACTATTTGTATAATTTCCTATGGTAAATTATATGGGTGGCCAGGTAGCCGTGCGGACAGAGTGTCTATATTCTAATTCGCATTCGCTTGCCGGTCGTGGGTTCGATCCCCGTCGACTGCAGAAATTTTTCTGATGGCCCAAGAAAGTGTTTGGGATCACACGTTAAAAGGTAAGGCCCCCGTCATTCCTTGCTCGCACAAGACTTTCGAAGACTTTTGAGGGTTGCTCGTAAGGGGGCAACCGAATGACGGATAGAACAAATTTTAGAACAAAAAAAAATTTATATCCAGCCCGCATTCCTGGATAAGGTGATTAGTCATAAAATTGTAACCCCCTGTTGAAATATGAATAACTTTTTTTCTGCTTTGAACAATTTGAATTTGGTTCACACTGTTCGATAGCCCAGTCCTTGAGCTATAAGCTCGTACTTCTTTAAAACATGAGGTTCTTCATATAAACTCGCTACAGGGTGTCACCTGAAACTGTAAAAAATGTTTGAATTTTCAAAAGGATCCCAAAGGAACGAAAACTCTTTTTTTCAACTTTGACGGCAGATTACCTTGAGAAATTTTTCGAATTGCCTTATTATCCCTTTAACTCAATATAATGATAAAAATAATAATAATGTTTATTGTTGACATAAAAAATCACATAAAATTCAAATAAACATTTGACAAAATTGGAATTTAAAAACAAATAGAGTAAAATATGCATACAATTACATCACATTAAACGTATAAAACTTTTTTCTGCAACCGACACAAAAGTCGTCCATTTTGATACCAAAATTAGCCCTTAAATTGACGTTTCTATTACTGACACAAAAATAGGTATGTTGCTAGGCAACATATTTAGTTCCTAGGAGCTAAAGTTGAATTTTAGTTCCTAGGAGCTAAAGTTGAACTTCAGCTCCTAGGAACTAAAAAGGATCTACTGGACGTCATCAAGAATAAACAACATTGTGACGGTTGGTTATTTGGGTTGAGAGGCATATACCTGATTTGTTCCCGATTTCAGCAGATTTGGCATTTCATACCCATGCTGGAGATATAAATACACCTTATTTAGTATTGGAATTATTAAAATCTGAGTTAAGTATTTTTGTTTTGATCAGGGAAGCCTTCAAGATTCAAATACTTGCTTGATCTGTATTTCATTCGTTATATTCTCGGGATGGATAACTTGTTTTTGGATAATCACGACAAGCAATAGTTTTTTGTCTCAAACGACGATATTGTTAACATTCATTTGATTATCAAGCGACAAACATTGTATTACGAGAAGGAAAAAATAATTGCTATTCTTATTGTTGATGTGCTCACTAACCCAACATTTTCCAAGTCTTGTTTCTATAGCTGGCACTGACGCGGTATTTGCCATTAGAGCACCTGGTCCATACACAAATATGTCACTCTGTGATTGTATTTATATTGAAACTACAATTCGAACATCCAAGAAAATTGAATGAACCTGCTGTTGATGCAGGTAGAATGTTCTCACCACACGGATTATTTTTCAATATTTGTTGCATTGCATACATATGGCACGGTATTGGTGGTAACTTCACATATTTATTTGAGTTATTTGTTTCGGTTGCAGACAAAATAGCATGTTTCATTCGGATCAAAAGTGATTTTGTTCGACTCGCAAATTTTGACTTGCGTCTAGCCCCTGCGTGCAACTGGCGTGCCGAGGCAAACATTCGAACGCCGGCCTTATCCAGCGCCGCGCAGACTGCCCATCGGAAAACATGATTCGTCATAAAAATTTCAAATAAAATTGCATCGTTATTCACTCGATTTCATTGATGAGGAAAAGAGGAACTTATTCTAAAAACAGTCTTCACGAATTTTGGAATGACCCATAGGCTTTTAGACTTAGATTACTTTTGTTGAGTCGATTTAAATAAAGAAAAGGAAAAAATTTAATTTCTTCAAAAATTTTGAATACAATAAGTGACTGACAATGATTTTCGTTGTGTATATCTGAAAAGAAAACTTAACATGCAGAAACAAATTCATTGATAAATTAATAGAACTAGAGGTACATCGAAAAAAATTTATATGTATTCAAATACCTATGTCAGACTTATAGGTATGATTGTATATACACTGGTGTAAGCATATTCACCTTTTGGGACGCAAACTGCTTGATCAAGACAATAAACCAGACGGGGAAACTCCAGCAGATCGGATAAGAGGTAGGTACCTATAAAGTGCTAACGATAATATGAAAACATGTGATTTTCTTTGGAATGACCCAAAATACTGATTGCTATATAGTTCAAAAAATGTTAAGATGGCAACATCGCCAAACGTTCGTTATTTCATTATATTATACACATAAACAAAATTTTATTGTAGGTCGGGCCATGGCCATTCTGTAGATATTTATATGTTTTCATACATCTACATCAGTATTCTATCCATGCTCTGTATATCAAAAGAATGTTTCAGGAGAAATGTGCAATGAACATTATTTTCTGTTTGTTTTGATGACAATAGTGACTATGTAGTTACTGTTTATATGTATACTATGTCTGGCTCACCCTGTATATCGAAGTACATCTTGAAAAAATCATGAAATATGTTTTAGGTTATTTATATCCTTGTTTTAATTTTTAGAGGAGAATATGATGATCTGCATGTCCATATTGACCATAGATTTAAGGAGTCTGAAGACTTAGTTAAAAGTTTATCAACCAGTTGTTCGACTGATCCCAAAAATGAAACATTGTCGCACCAGAAAGACGAAATCAAAAGATGGTTTTGTTGTATCGTGGATTCAGTTGAATCAACTTCACAATTGAATATTATTAAAAAAATTATCGGACCTATAGAACCTACCTTGAAGGCAGCATCTGTATCTTTAGATATATATACTGTTCTGAATGAGAAAGTCAACATGCCTCACAACACAAAAATCGAACCACAACGAAGGCTGTATTCAACGAAAAAAAATTAACAAATCCACAGCCGTCTGTGACAAATCTAATAAGTTGAAAAAACCATCAACAGACGAGAGGAATAAGATAGCAATTTCCCTATTTTGTTTTTTTCTTCATAGTGTATCGATGATATGGTGTACAATACATGATTCTGCACTATTGTATGCATCTATGTCTGTATTTTTTATGAACATTAAACTTTTTTCATGAATAACTAACTGTTATATTAATTTTATTCGTTTTACAAATTAGTTACTTTCATTGTTTAGTTATTATAATTAATTTGGCACCCCCGTACATATTCTACCCGCATAATGTAAAACCATTGTCGGCAAAATGAAAAATAATCAAACCAAAATCGTCAATTCGATAAACGCACGTATTTCGATGTGCAGTCGGCGCTGGATAAGGCCGGCGTTCGAATGTTTGCCTCGGCACGCCAGTTGCACGCAAGGGCTAGACGCAAGTCAAATTTTGCTTTCGCTCGGCTTCGCTGAACGCTCCGCCTCGCAAATGCAAAATTCGCTTGTCAAACAAAGTGTCACTTTTGATCCTAATAAAACAATCTACTATTATTTCAATAAACATTAAAAAAATCACTGAAGAACATGAAGTGCTTGTGCGTGATGATTTTGTTGATAGTAGTTCCTTAAAATCAATGAGAATGAAAATATGATGAGAAAAAATATAAAAAATGAAGGAAATAAAAAATATAAACAGAGTGATATCGAGAAATCAACTTCTAGTTTTGCAGTCATAACTTTTTTCCTTCCCAACCGATTTTTAAAATCTCAGGCTCATTTCGAAGATGAAAGTTCAGATGAAGAGATATGAAGATCAGAATTGACTCAAGAAGAACTTTGCACAGTGTGTCTCACCTTTCATGGAAGCATCCCTGTATTTTTTTTTATCGCTTGGAGCGCACGAAAGGGAATCCCTATAATGTTCAAAGAACATCGTGCGTACCTAGGGAGGATAGTGACAGGAGGTAGGTAATGGAATTTTTTTTGAACTTTTGGAGATTATAATATGTTGTTGGGAATACTTCCACAGGCAATGAATTCCAGAGCCTAGCCGTTCTATGGATGAAGGAGTCTTATTGATATAGTGCTGTTCGACATCTTTCGAGGTTGATAACGAAAGGATGTGTTGACTGTGCTTGTCTAGTTCGTCTGATTGGTATTGCTAGTGAAGGGATGATAGCAGAGATTTCCGAAGAACATTTCCCGTGGAAGTATCGATAGAAAAGTGAAAGGTCGCCGACCTTTCTAAGGTGTTCCAATGATGTCAAAGAGTGAGTGAGTGTGGCGTCACCCACCAGGCGGATGGCTCTTCTCTGTATGGAATCTAAGAGCATCAGCGTATGTTTTGGTGCTGAACCCCATATGTGGGAACAGTATTCTAGAACAGGCCGTAGATATATACTGAAAGTACACACTATGACCAAGTGAGTCATTTTCAGTGATATACACTGCTTGCTAACAGCCATGGAACCATCCACAAAAATGAAATAGGCGAGTTGACTAATTTTTTTTATTTCTAAAATAGAATCATCACTCAAATAACTTTCAATTTCATATATCATCAGAATTCTTCATTCGATTTTAAGGTGCTGAGATCAACAATAATGCCACGGTGATTTCCAAACGGCTGAAAATTTATCGCGAGTAAAAACTGACGTCACGATTTCGTAAGTAGGGACAAATCATATCACAGTTGCCATATGTTGAATTACGATTGGAACTTAGGAAATATCAGTTATTCAATAATTCATAAATTTTCAATTTTGTATTGGTTATATTCCTAATCAGACATGAAAATCAATTGTCTCAAAATATTCGCTCATCTGTTGTGGCTTATTGTTTATAATACATTCGTGCTAATATTAATATTATTATATTCATTCACACTAGAGGATACTTGAGGGTAAACGTGACAACCCGACGCACGAATTGTGGGCGGTGTCTTGTCAGTTCTCAGCATTCAGCACATTGTCGCCAAGTCTTCAACACCAGCATGACATTTTGTTATGGGGAACAAGAGATATACAGACATGCTGGTTGCTCGAAAAGTCAAGAATGATCTATAATATCATGACTTACTCTTATTATGTTTTATCTCGTGTTTTATCCAACGACAGGACTCTATTGGAGATGAAGGGTTATTTTTGCAGTTTTGCAGTATCATCACAGAGAAAAGTGTTGTTTATCTGCCTGCCTCTTCTTCATTGAGATAGTTGATGAATTGATGAATTACAAAAATATATCGCGTTCCAGTAACGAATGTTATTGGAAATATTATTCAGGTATGTCTCAGATTCAACATCTACGTATTTCCTCTAATGATATTTTCTGATTCAGATGTACTTCAATTTGAATGTGATGTTTATTTGCAGATCCAAGAAGCAAAGTTTGATACTTGCCAATCAATCGGAGAAAACCATCTCGTAAATACGGACCAAACAGACCATCAAGATCCGCAAAGAGAACTGATCAGAGTATACTTTACAGAATCAGATCATTATTCGTACGGAAGGCGATATATTGATCACCTTTCCAGATTCTCAAGCAGGACAGATAGACAGATATTCAGCTTTATGTCTCTATGAAAACACGACAGGTATCCTCTTACGAGGGGAGAGTATCAACTCGGCGTTTATAAACCCTCTCTGCGAAGGAGGTAGATGCATGGTGGGTTAGGTATATTCAGTGTCATTCATTACAGAGAAGATTGCATGTTGTTTATCTGCCTGCCTCGTCTTCATTGAGATAGTTGATAAATTGATGAATTACAAAAATATATCGCGTTCCAGTTACGAATTTTGAAAACAATATCTAGACTTATTGTATATGTATATAGGTCTTATGATTCGAATTTGAAATTGATACTTAGTTTCAGATCCGATTAGCATAGTGTTTGGCCTTCAAGGTCCTCAATATAACCCACGTATTATAAATGTGGAAGATGCCTACTGGAAGATTCACTATTCGGAAAGGAAGAGGATATGTAACAATCCAGTTACAAACGTTGAAAATATTATTCAGGAATATGTCTCAGATTCAACATCCATGTACTTCATCTGATTATATTAATTTTCAAAAGTACTTCGATTAATATGTGATGTTTGATTGCAGATCCGAAAAGCAGTGTTTGATACTTGCCACTCAATCGGAGAAAACCACCCAGTCAAGACGAACCGAACAGATGATCCGCAAAGAGACCTGACCAGAGTATACTTTACAGAATTCAGATTATTATATAAATTCGTACGGAAGGCGATATATTGATATCCTTTCCAGATTCTCAAGAAAACAGATAAGACAGATATTCACCTCTATGTCTCTATGGAATCACGACAGGTACCCTTACAAGGGGAGAGTATCAACTCGGCGTTCATAAACCCTCTCTGCAAAGGAGGTAGGCGCATGGTGGGTTAGGTATATACAGTGTTCTTCATTGCAGAGAAAATTGTTGTTTATCTGCCTGTCCCGTCTTCATTGAGATAGTTGATGAAATGATGAATTACAAAAATATATCGCGTTTCAGTTACGAATGTTGAAAACAATATCGAATATCATATTGAGGTCTCACGGTCTCACGATTCAAATTTGAAATTGATCCTTAGTTTTAGATCCGAGCAGCACATCGTTTGGCCTTCAAGGTCCTCAATATAACCCACGTACGTAATTGAAAATGTGGAAGATGCCTACTGGAAAAAACACTATTCGGAAAGAAAGCGGATATGTAGCAATCCAGTTACGGACGTTGAATATATTATTCAGGTATGTCTCAGATTCAACATCCATGTAATTCATCTAATGATATTTATTTTCTGATATAAATTTACTTCGATTGATATGTGATGTCGTGTTGCCGATCAGAGAAGCAGTATTTGATACTTGCCACTCAATCAGAGAAAACCATCCAGTCCATACGAACCGAACAAAAGATTCACAAAGTGAACTGACCAGAGTGTACTTATGGTGACTAGTTATGTTATATACTTGGTATATTATGATTTGTTTGTCAGACATTGATGTGACATTTTCATAATATTATTACAAATCAAAGTCTTATAATTTGTATCAATTCCATCCACAATTTGGTGACCCCAACGTGATATTATGGGGCAGTTGAGCGAAGGCAAGATCATACGAATTTTAAGACATTTCAAAATCCATGCTTTGAAGTCTACGAATATCGCTGATGAAGGGTATGTGCAGCAATCTCTCACGAAGTAGTAAAATATTTCGAACCAAATCGTGGGTCACTGAATTTTTTTTATGAAAATATCACGAAAACTGCATTGGCTCCAGATCTCACTTCTAATGGTAGTCAAATAACCACTGCTCAAAACTGTACTTTTAACATTAATTTATATAATTATTACTCTACCACAAATTGAAAATATGTATGATGCAAGAGTGAAAATAACGTGCCCATAAGTTATACTGTATACCTACTTCTTTGTTACTCTCATCAATAAATTATTTGAAAATGACTTTTTATTTAAGGGAGACGGAAAAATCATATATGTTTAACATGGTGGTAAAGTATATTACTTGATTATATAAATTATAGTTGAATCCTTTTTTACCTATATGATACGCCAATGACCTCAATATAACCTAAAAAACAACAAATGTCAAAAATCTAGAGTTTATCCCCAGAATTGAATAAGGATGGAACTATTCGCGATAGAAAATCAAGGTTGGTAGAACTGATGACTATTTTGTAGAGGAAGGTTGCCTCGATCGCACCCCGCGAGTGACCTTGAGTAACTCATGACGTAATAGGCCCTTTCTTTTGCACGAAAAGTGTAGCACTCTCGTACACTTCGTGTATGATATGTACGACGGCGATTGGCCGGCGCATGTATTGAGTTGACAGTTGTCAGTATTTTCGAATATTTGAACCATTTTGACTCAAAAATGTAAAAATGATAATTTGTTCGGTCACTTCTTGTTAAAATTCGTACAAGTGTAATGAGACTAGTGAATTTAGTTTGTGTTTCCATTAATTTCCATAAGATGAGTCTATTCGTGAGAAATATGGATTCAATTTTGGCGAATATGTTCTGCCCATTTCGATGCCGAGGATTTTGAACGGCACAAGCAGAATTGCTAAATCACACACCAAAGAGATGAAAACTCAAGGTAGGAATCCCATCACTAATACCAAATACAACAAGAGAAACACCATAAGTATTCAAGTTTGGAAAAATGATCAGAACCAGACCAGTTGTGAATGTTGAGATTCTTGCTGAACGGGTAAAATGGACATCAGAAGATATCACACACGTGTTTTCAAGTTGAGATATTTGAGCAAGAGTACGTTACCCAACGAAGAGGAGCTATGTTTATATGAGAGATTCCTTGAACTATCCTTCATTATAGGTTCACTTATAATAGTAGTGTTATTTTTCATTAATTTTGTTCAGAATCATATTTTGTTATTTTTTTATGCTCAAATACTTCGATCAATTGCTCTGTTTTTGACTACAATATAATCAAACAATGAAATACTATTTCCTCTTGTATTTTTTATAGGTATCTAGTTTGTCAATTTTTCAGAATACAGAGATATATTGATAACATAAGTGATCTGTTGTGTACGAATATTGGTCCACTGCTACTTCTGGATCATCAGTTGATTATTCTCATATTTTCTGTAGTTTCTTGTTCACATTATCTGATTTGCAGGATATTTACCCAATCAGCCAAAGTACGTCTTAAAGGCGTCTTTAAGACGTACATGTCGGGACATAAGTACGTCTTAAAGACGTACATATTACGCCCAAGAGACGTCTTTAAGACGTCTTTAAAACGTACATTTTCCACTAATATGTACGTCTTTAAGACGTCTTTTTCAGGTGTTTTTGGCCCATTACCTCAAATTGATCTTTCAAATTACGGAAAAATCACATAGTTTCAGTTGATTTTCACCTGTGCACTGAAGTTAGCAACAAGTGCAGACAAGCAAAAAAAAGGGAAATAAACGACTTCATCAAACTGTAGACACAAGCGGTCACCCATTCAAGTACTAACCGCGCTCTTTGTTGCTTGACTTCGATGATTATACCATATTCACTTCTTCTGTTACTCTGTTTGTTCTATATATCACATAACAAGCTTTTACTTAGTTCAACATGTCCTTGTGTCTGTTTGTAATCAAAACGTGCAAGTTAAATTTGACTCACTTTAAATCATCCGATTGATTTGAAATTTGGCAAGTAAATATTATTCCGGCGACAATTCGTTGTAATATTATTATTGAATGGAAAAGACAGAATGGCGGATCCAATATGGCGGACGATGTGGCATATGGTTTTCTGATTATGGTCTGATCTGATTCAAAATTGGCATCTGAAGGATTTCGGGATCAGAGATTATAATTCCTTTTGTCGAAAATGAAAAATCCAAGATGTCGGCTTCAAAATGGCGGACGAGTTTTGTGATTATAGTCCGATTTTATTCAAAATTGATTACTATGGGACTTTTGGGGTCGGAGAATATGATTTTTTTGTAAAAATTCGAGAATCTAACACGAAGGCTCCAAAATGTCGGACGAAAAAATTCAAAAACATCACTTTTGTTGAAATTAAGAAAAAACTGAACAATTGAAAATAAAAAACGTGAAGAGATGACATTTTGTTTCTCTTCAGAAAATAACTTACATTATTGTTCTATAAGTCGAATTGACGTACTGGAATGTACGTCTTTGAGACGTATTTTATACGACATGGGAGGAACGACGTGGATACGACCTAAAATGTACGTCTTAAAGACGTAAATTCGTGTACGTCTTTAAGATGTACATGGATTTACATCTTAAAGACATACTTTATACGTCCCTGGACGTAAAGACGTAAGTAAGTCGTAAAATGTACGTCTTTAAGATGTCTGGTGCTGATTGGGTATAAGATGAGTAGGTTCACAATCAATGCATAAGTAATCACTAGCGCCATAATTATGCTCCATACCTCAAAACACACATACCTGGTACCACGACCTGGTAAATAGCCCCTGGAACAAAATTTCAGATAGGTATTCCTCTCTGTACTACTGATCCATCCAAAATTGCCTTCTCATTTCGAAGATTGAAGGTATTAAACAGAAGTATATGTAAATATCCATATTTTATAATGGTACTTACTTATAATTATATACAATAAATTAATATAAATATGCTGAGCAGACCAAAAAGTTTGTATCATGTTTGTATACTCTATTTGGTAAACATTTCATGACATGTCGCTTTAAGGTTGACAACTTGTCGTCTTACTGCCTGTGACGTCACGAGTGACCGTTTCCCCCCTTGCCGCACTATCGATCGAGGCAACCTTCCTATACAAATTATAATCAGTTCTACCAACCTTGATAGAAAATAACACGTTGCCCCACCTGACGGCAACAACTTGAACACTTCTGAGCGGTTTCTCTTGATGTATGTAACCAGTGAGCACAAACAAAAAACAATTGTCAGCCAATGAAAACAAAGTAAACAGGCCGCTTTGACAGCTTTCAATGATTCCGATAGGTGGCGTACGCTTATTTTCTATCGCGCGAATATACAACTGTACGAATATACAACTGTACAACAAACACTTTAGAGTGACCGGTGGCAACGATCTGTCCGTAGTGCCACGGGTAACTTATCTCTGCTTGTGTTTATATTGAGTTCATGTTGGTAAAACTGCGTATTGCAATAAAACAAACCGCTCAGAAGTGTTCAAGTTCCTGCCATCAGGTGGAGCGACATGATATTTTCTATCGCGATTTCACTTATGTCAATGTCACAGTTGACTGACAGTAGTTGCGTTCTATTTGTTCCATTCTTCCATTCTAGTAGTGGTTAGTGGTTAGGGGTGGAGGAATCGGATAAATAAAACGCAACTAGTGATCTGACAATCTGACATACAAATTTCAGGTTATGTTGTTTTTGGTCATGGCAAAAGATTTATAATTTTATTAATTTTGAAATAAATGAGATGAAGACTATTTGTAGAACATGTTTGAGTTCTTCCAACGAACTTTCATGTTTAGAAATCGACAAGAATTTGAAGAACATGATAGAACTCCTAACTACAATACAGGTGTAGTAATGCATATGTTATTTTTCAGCTCTATATTAATAAATTATTATTGTTTCATCTAGATTTCCCAAGATTCTATCGAATACCCATCTACAATTTGCCAAAATTGTATTGAGAATTTCAACAAATATTACTGCTTTAGAATAGTAGTTATACAGGCTGATAAGGAACTGAAAGAACGTTTCAAAACTCATGTAACTAGAAAAGCAGAGAAGAAAATATTGTGTAGACGAAAAAGAAAAGGTCTCTCAAAAGACAGTGCAAGTCCTAAGAGGAAAAAAATACAAGAGGTTGAAGAGACTAATTATAAGTTCAAAGTCAAAATCAAGCAAGAATCTAGTGAACATGTATCTGAAGCAAAAGTCTGTGATAATCAAAAGAATGTTGAAATACCAAGTTACAGAGTGACAAGACAGAGATTCAATAAACAATCAGATGAAGCAGGAATAAATAATCTAGAAGAATTTGTTGGTAATGATCTGAATGAAGCTTTAAAGCATGATATTTTATCACCAACCAGTAAGGCATCTAGAAGGTATGTTTTGAGAATGAAGTACCTAATACTTCAAAGTCATTTATCCCCATACAAACTCATTGCAGAAATGGTGAAACTGATCTCAAAAAATCTTCAAACTCTGCTGATTCTTTTCATGATATTAGTGATGAGGAAAACAGTGATAGCAAGCAGGATTTGAAAATAAACAATAAGATCAAGAACCACAGTTCTTTGACATGTGAGGAATGTGACCTCACTTTTAGCACTAGATCAGAACTCATCAACCACAGAAGAAACCATCACACTGCTCCAGGTATTTGCAATATCTGTGGTGCAGTGGTCAGAGCAGATAATTTGAGTAAACATGTCCAAACACATAGTCAGGAGCCTGTTGTTTGTAAAATTTGTGGAAGGTTATTAAAAAATCCACAATCCCTGCGCACACATTTACTGATACACAAGGGTATCACTTACACCTGTGATATTTGTGGGAGAACATCCAAAGTTAAATCAGAACATAGCAGGCACATGAAAACTCATGTAGGTAAGTTCATTTGGTGGGCACATTTTCATAACTAGATTGCCCATGTATGTACAGGGACAGAGAGAATCATTTCTATAATTTGCTTCTTTGAATTGTTGAACTATTGCCAAAAATCATCACCAATTGGTAAGTTCTTCCCTGAAAGTCGATAATTAAAATATATATAAAATAATAAATTTGTACTCCCATGAAATAACAAATTTGACATTTTCATATTTTTGTTTTCATCCATAAAAAACATTGATACTTGCCTTGTCATCAATTCAAATTTTGAAAATTCACCCATGCTCAGCCACAACCCCTTCAGAATCTTTTATCTGTGTATGTCCAAGATATTCAAAATTGTTGACCTAGTTGTTTTTTTTCTGACCCATCAGAAGAATTCTCTTTTGAAAATTTGAGATGGGGCTTTCCTGTATTGTAAATTTTGACCCTTTTTTACTATAATATTATGAAGAGAAGTCAAACATGTTTTTCCTACCATATATTTATCAAAAATAACTAACAACAAATGAATTTTTTGATATTGAAAATGCAATTTCAATACCTATGAATTCAAACACTACTGAGCTGTAATGTCAATGTCTTCTTGCTATTTGATTGGTCGGAGTTGCGATGGCTGGGAAGCATGCTGCTGTTGCCAGTTTTTAATAATATTTTCAACAGGATAACAACTCTTTAACAATGGTGGACACCCCGAGTTACTAAGTACCGTAGAATGGGGTGACTTGAAATCGTGTGGTGACTTGAAATATAATGCAGTGAAAATTTTGAAGTAGTGGCAACGTCGCATGTCAACGGAAGAAGCTAAACTAGTCTTTCAGTCTAATGATTTTTTGTTTATTTTTGTAGTTTTTTATCTTTTTTGTATTTTGCTAAAAAATATTTGTTCTAAAACACAGTGTTTTTTTATGAAATTGATGATTTCTATATATTTTTTATTTAATTTTCATTTCATGTCACCACCTAGACCATCCTACTTGAAATAATCGTTGATAAGAAGTCATATTTCAAGTCACTTTTTTTTTTTTCGAAAACTACACTATATAGAAACGGTTTTAATGTATCGTTCTGTTCTTTAGGGTCGAAAGAGTTGGTGACTATTTTTAGTTTGGTTGAAAGTTGCATGGTAAGGTCGCAATCTATGGAAGTGTGTCAAAAATCTTATCAAGTCACCCCATTCTACGGTACTTGATAGGTATTCTAAACCGTTTCATTATTTTAATTATTTCTAAATTATCATTTCAGTATCTTGAGTATCCATGATTATTTATTAAATATTTTCATTTCCTTTTCAGTATTCTAATTACTTTTTGAGTATTTTAAATACATTACAAGTATAATTCAATTACTCCTAAAATATTTTAGTCACTTTCAGAATATTTTAATTACACTTTCAGTACAGTAATTTCATTTTTCATTATCCTAGTATTCCTTATAATGAGTATTTTTGTTGTCCTGACAACAGCGTTCCAACAGTTCCCAGAAACACAAGAAGAGAAAAAGAAGACGAATTACATTGTCAACCTTACTTCCTCAATATCCTCTGTCACCTTCATCTTCAAATCCTTGTTTCATCTAGTCAAGATGCGAATATTCGAAGAATTTTCCTCTTATTATCTGATTCTTCAGAGGTGTGTTGTGTTCTCTGTTATCCGCAGTTAGTATTCAGCCTAGAAAATTCACTAGAGTCTAGGGCGACCATCTTCTGAGGACTGGAACTCTTTTCATATTTTAATTGAATGGACAATCAAAAATATTCTTGCACTTGTCTTACAGAAATAAAGAATAGATACGTATGTCGAATTTTTTCGGATGATTACGTCATGCGTTTTCCGCGGTTTTTATGTTACGAAATAACGTGAACTTCAATAATCAGTTAAAAAATGTACAGAGCTCTGGGGAAAAACGGTTTGCGACAGTGGACTAGAGTACTCTTTTTCAAATTAATTTTTCCACCACCAGCTGTAGAACCTACTATTTCTTTTCGAGGCGTGAAGTGTGTTTTTACTACCAAGGTAGTTTTCGTCATTTTATGAACCACTAGTCAATAATGACATAGCCACCTCTGGTGGGACTGGAATCTAGTACGTATTTATCAATGACGACTTGACATATGATGTCATAGTCATGTCTATTATTTTAATTAGAATTGAAGGGGAGTGCTTTCATAGTGACAATAGGTCCATATTTCGGTTTCACATAACGATAATGATTGAGATATATTGCATGTGGTTACAAAAATTCAATACACACCTTGGTAGAAAGAATATCATTACCACGCGACCTAATAACCCTCGGCTGAAGCCTCGTGATGTAATCTTGGTCCCTGGGTAATAATTATATTCTTTACTACTTTGGTGTATAAATAACTATTCTACGAAGGGTTATAGTTGCAGCGTATTTATCAAATCGATTTCATATCTACGATACATAGAACATTTTTAATTTTCGAAGATTTGCCGCCCCCTGAGATTTTGCGCTTTAAGCGATCGCTCAACGCGCTTAATACGTAATCCGGGTCTGTCAACATTACTTGAAATAACAGTCACCTGTCCCTGCCCATACCGAAGATGACTCGAACAAAAAATTCCATTATACCGGGTGTTCCAGTATACCTGTTCCAATGAATTATCTCAGCCATTTCGAAAAATGAGAATTCGAAAATTTCATTATATCCAATTCGTTCAAGGAAGCTTCAACTGAGAAAAACAAAATTTTAAAGTCACTTCCGGTTTGACCGGAAGTGACTAACTTTTTTATTTCAAATAGCACCCTATATATTTTTTGCAATTTTTGCTTTCTACCCAAAATTACCGTTCCAACGATGTATCACACTCCGTATTTTAAATTTGATTCGATGGAGAAAACGACAATTGAAATTTCAAATTGAACGAATTGCAGTAGGCTACGATATTTTTGTAATCTTGATTTTGACTTCAATAATAATTTCAAATCATTCGAATTGTAGTAGATCATGTAATTTTCATCTTTCGAAATGGCTGAGATAATCTATTGGAACAGGTATACTGGGACACCCGTATATGAAAGCAAAAAAATCTACAATCACTTGCCAGAACAATTCAAAGGAACTGGCTGCATAAAAAAATTCAGGAAGGAGGTTAAAAAATTCCTTATTCAAAAAGTTTTGAAGTCATGTATAATTTATTTCTTGATTTTTTAATTATTATGTTAGATACCTAGTTGGCGTTGTATGTGATATAAATGTTATGCTTCTAGGGTTTTTTGTAGTTGTTTTATACCCTTGTATTCGTGTTATTTATTAACTATATTTTATGTTCATATCTTTTATATCTTTGTACAAATAATTGGACATATATATAGTGTGGATCTATCCACTTGCTAGTTTCACGCTTTGTCAATAGGAAGAATGTTTCTTGGACAATTAAGCTCAGTTTTGATTTCATTTTTTTTGATTTGATTGAAAAAACAACACCATTCACATTTTTCTACTTTGCCGTACTAGTACGACACTAATATCACTATATCGCATTATAGTTCAATAGACTACATCTTACTACTATACTAATGCCAAAAACCACCTGTCATCGCTCTAGTGAAAATAATTTCTTTTTACCGCACTAGTGCGACAATAGTAATTTTCCTAACAAGTGCGGAAACTGATACTTCGCAAATGCCGTCAGTCGAGTGCGGGAAAGACACTTTCCACATGAGTTAGGAACAATATTTTTTCTACAAGCGTGTACAGGAAATTGATTGATTTGTTCAATCAAATATTCCTGCAAATAGGAACCACTAACAATAGTGATATAGTCTATCTTCTAATAATCAGTGATATATCTATTATGCGTACCGTTTGAAGCATTATGTAGGTAAGCTTATTGCGGAAGCCAGCATGCCCATGGTGTCTGGCTTCTAGGTTTCAGACATTTCTAGGAAATGAGCCAAACATACTTCTTCTTTATTTGGTATTTAGTGTGTTCACCATTTTACTTGTTATAAAAATCCCCCAATAGCCTTGAATTGATCTGATGTGAGAATAGTGTATTGTTTAAAACCAGCACGGAATGATAGTGATTTCCCTACGGCTCATGCTGCATTCATTAGAGTGGAAAATGAGCATTTCGTGCGAGTTATACACACTATAATTTTTCGACGGCTGTGACAAAATATAACAGAGACATTTTTGATTTCTTCGTCATGTAGTCATCTTATTTCCTCTCAAGTAATACTCATCTTTTAGACAGAGCTGTCATTGCTTGTAATTTGACATTCCCTTGGAGATGAGATTTTTTTTAAATAATAACACAATGGAACCATTGTGATATCAGATACGGAAATAGAATTGATGACATACAAAGTAGAGTCCGACCACGATAACTTTGGGACAGCACGTGGTCGCGTATACATTGAATATGCATATGCGTTGCGTCACATGCTGTCCCAAAGTTAACGTGGTCGGACTCTACCTCATTGATGCAAGGGCAATTTTGTGTAATAGCCGTAGAAAAACATTATTGTTGTCATTTCAATCAAAACACAAATGAGTTTGTAATTGTCTGAGTGACAGACAGTGCGTTACTGTCATTTTTGATTCAGTGGAATTGCGATGAAAAACTTCCAGCAACTGATGCGATACATATGAGTTATTGCCAACGAAGTTTTAAGAAAAGTATGAGAAGCACTACACGGGATTTATTGAATGGTGCCATAGTGAAAAAGTGAAAACCCCAAATAAAGAAGAAGTATTTTTGGCTCATTTCCTATAAATGTCTGAAAGCTAGAGGCCAAAACCATGGGCATGCTGGCTTCCGCAAAAAGCTTACCTACATAATGCTTCAAACGGTACACCCAATAGATATTTCACTAATTATTAGATAGATAGGGAATCTATCACTATTGTAAGTTGTTCCTATTTGCAGAAATAATTGATTTAACAGATAAATCCGTTTCCTACGCTTGTTGAAAAAATATTGTTCCTAACTCATGCGGAAAGTGTCTTTTCCGCACTCGAATGCCGTTGACCCGAACGACGCGAAGCGGAGTTCGGGCAAGCAGGGAAGGTATCACTTTCCGCACTTGTAAGGAAAATTACTATTTCACTGTACTAGATCAGGTTAATCATTATTCCAGACCCCAATGCCAGGAATTGGAATATTGTTCCTAACTCATGCGGAAAGTGTCTCTTCCGCACTGGAATGCCGTTGACCCGAACGACGCGAAGCGGAGTTCGGGCAAGCAGGGAAGGTATCACTTTCCGCACTTGTAAGGAGAATAACTATTTCACTGTACTAGATCAGGTAAATCATTATTCCAGACCCCAATGCCAGGAAGACCATGTGTCCTATTTGCGGCAAGCGCGTGCGTCATCTGAAGCACCACATGCTGACCCACACCGGCGAGAAGCCCCACACGTGCAAGCATTGCCACAAGGGCTTCACCAGCACTTACAGCCTCAAGGTGCACAGCAGGCAGCACACCAACGAGAAGCCGTTCATCTGCGAATGCTGCAGCATGGGGTTCAACCAGAAGATTTCGCTCTTGTCCCATTTGGAGTCGAAGCATGGCGCCAAGAACGGGTAGAATGGGTTGAGAATTTGTTTTTATTTGGAAGAACGCGAAATAAATGGTTCTGAATTAAAATATCTGGAAGTTTTCATTCCAGGAGTGTGTTTTACAGATTCAGATTTTCATAGTGTGTTACTGTGTTCCAGAGAAAGCTACCCATGTCCTTCTGAAGTATCCAACACAATATTATGAAGTAAAACGTTTATGAGACATCGCATCAATATTGACATCGATATCATTAGATAATATTGTGATATATTGATTTTAGGTTTATCAGATATATCTCAGACAGAGTTTGTATGTTATTTGTGCAACGTTTTCGTTTCACCACCTTATAACGTAGCTTACATGCATACAGGATACAAGGAGATGATATTCATTCTTCTAAGGCAATAAAGTAACCTTGTCAACTGTCAAAAGTAAATTCAATTCCATTCCAGCCATTTTGTTTGTTGTCTATTATGGTGAACAAGCCCAATAGTGTGATCAGTGAAAATATTGATTTTTAGGTATTATTCGTATAGTTATCAAAGTAAGTGAAGAACTAAACAAGTCTTGGACTCAAATTCGAAACAACAATGAATTGCTCATGATAACTATACCTACTTATATTCCAGGTTTGCTCTGCTGGAATATAGAAATGCAACCAATCTGTATCTGCATTTCATAATATGTGAAAAAGTAGGAGGATTCGTGAATACGGATTGTGTTCATATTTCACGAATTACAAAAATAATGGGTGAGTTATATATCATAGCTAGAAGAAGAACATATAATAGAATTTTAAAATAATTTAGAAAACTCCCAACAACTCGTATAGAAATATATTTACCTATTACATTTTAGAATTTCAGTAAGGGATCACTGGATTATATATGCAGAAATCATATAGCTGGACTGACTAAATTTATGAGGCCGAATAACTGAAATGATACTTAGGAAAATAGTAGTCAATCTGTCTCAAAATATCACTGAATAATTATAGATCATATGTATAGTTTTTCAGGAGTTCGGTTAGATCAATTCATATTTAGGGATAGTTCATCTTCTCTGATGTCTTTTCTGAAGATCATTCAGATGATTTTCTTGATGATTCCAGACAAAATAGACATAACCTAAAAACTCCTAGAAACTAATTAGAATGTTAATTTACAATATTGTTTAGATGTTTTGAGTTACATTAAATATACGTTATGAAGTAACATTGATTTTATGTGATTCCTGATATATTTATATAATATTTACCATCAACATTACATTGCAATATTTATACGAGGCACATACGTCGATTGCCGCAACGTAACTGTGATATCAAGCATATCTCTAAATAACATCACAAAGTCACATTGTAATATTACATTTATGTTTGAGTTATGTTATTATGTTTTGTGGGTATCAGCTCATCCAACATATATGCCTATTCGAAACTCATGTAGGTATTTCAAATTGTTTTTCCAACTAGTCAATTTTGGACCATGAACATTTCATTCTTGGTGTAGGAGATACCTACAGAGTGTCAGTTTCATTGATGGAAATGGATATATAATAATAAAATTATATATACCTGACTATTATTTAAACTGAGGTTTTTCTTCACGAGCTCCTACAGCTTCAAGGTGCACAGCAGGCAGCACACCAATGAGAAGCCGTTCATCTGCGAGTGCTGCAGCATGGGGTTCAACCAGAAGATTTCGCTCTTGTCCCATTTGGAGTCGAAGCATGGCGCCAAAAGCGGGTAGAATGGGTTGGGAAATTGTTTTTATTTGGAAGAACGCGAAATAAATGGTTCTGAATTGATATATCTGGAAGTTTTTATTTCAACAGTGTGTTTTACAGATTCAGCGATTTTCATAGTGTGTTCCAGAGGAAGCTAACAGCTCGTCCAATATATATGCCAATTTGAAACTTATGTATATAGGTATATATTTCAAATTATTTTTCCAAAGTCGATTTTGCACCACGAAAATTTCATTCATGTTGTAGAAGATTCCTACAGAAGTGTCAGTTTCATTGATGGAATGGATATATATTAATAAAATTATATATAGGTACCTATTATTCGAACTGAGGTTTTTCTTCACGAGAACCTACAGCTTCAAGGTGCACAGCAGGCAGCACACCAATGAGAAGCCTTTCATCTGCGAGTGCTGCAGCATGGGGTTCAACCAGAAGATTTCGCTCTTGTCCCATTTGGAGTCGAAGCATAGCGCGGGTAGAATGGGTTAGGTTATTGTTTTTTGTTTGGAAGAACGCGAAATAAATGGTTCTGAATTGATGTATCTGGACGTTTTTATTTCAGAAGTGTGTTTTACAGATTCAGATTTTCATAGTGTGTTCAGGAGAAATCTAACAGCTTGTCCAACACATATTCCAATTCGAAACTTATGTAGGTATGTGAATGGATACACAGGGTGTTCCGAAACTATTGCGTCAAAACGTAAGGGTGGGTAAATCTCGCCAAAACAAACGTTTTTTACTTATCAACCCATAAACGCATGCGCTTATTTCGGTACTAATGGGTATCACAAGAAGAAAATTCAGCATATTTATGTAAAACTGCCTCTATATTGTTGCAGGAAGTTCTTTAAGATTTTTGTGCCTTGAGAAACTGTGTCAATTGTGTGATTGGGAAAATGAACATACATCAATTTGAACAATTCAATGAATAAGTTATCGAATAATTCCGAAATTCAATTGTTTCAGTAAGTATATTTATACAGGGTGTCCGCTAAAAGGAGGTCAATCCATTAACCATATATTCCTTGAACAAAAACAATATGAGTTTCTAAATACCATTTTTCATTTTAGCCCTTCATATTCGATATACAGGGTGTCAAAGTTGGAAATTAAGAACTGTTTTTTTTTAATTACTCGCGTATTTAATAAGATAATAATCTCAGAATTGGTGCATTACTTCAGCACAAAGAGTTACATCGTGTGAGGAAAACAAAACAGAAAATAACTGTCAAATATTCAAAATACTGGGGGTCAAGTACACACTTACCCCCATATTTTTTTTGTACGTGCGCTCATGACTTCCTATCTATTTTTCTTCAAGTGTTCAATCATTTTTGAGTATTTTTTTATTCTTGTAAAATTCCGATAAACTATCAAGATAATTCGATAAGTACTGATTATTGTTTGATGCCTCGCGACTAACGGTAATCTCATAATGTTCACATAATACTCCTTTTTATTTCGTCGAAATTGGAAGAGGACGTATATTATTATGTATGGAAAGGTAAATATGGAAACATCGGGTGCTCAGAGCGAATGTATCAAAATAATTTTTACACTTTTTTAATTTTTTTTTTGTAAAAATTATTTTAGTACATTTGCTCTGAGCACCCGGTATTTCCATATTTACTTTTTCGTACGTAAAAAGATACGCCCTCTTCCAATTTCGACGAAATAAATAGGAGTATGTGAACATTATGAGATTACCGTAAGACGCATACCCAATCAGCACCAGACATCTTAAAGACGTACATTTTACGACTTACTTACGTCTTTACGTCCAGGGACGTATAAAGTACGTCTTCAAGATGTAAATCCATGTACATCTTAAAGACGTACACGAATTTACGTCTTTATTAAGACGTAGATTTTAGGTCGTATCCACGTCGTTCCTCCCATGTCGTATAAAAGACGTCTTAAAGACGTACATTCCAGTTCGTCAATTCGACTTATAGAACAATAATGTAAGTTATTTTCTGAAGAAAAACAAAATGTCATCTCTTCACGTTTTTTATTTTCAATTGTTCAGTTTTTTCTTATTTTCAACAAAAGTGATGTTTTTGAATTTTTTCGTCCGACATTTTGGAGCCTTCGTGTTAGATTCTCGAATTTTTACAAAAAAATCATATTCTCCGACCCCAAAAGTCCCATAGTAATCAATTTTGAATAAAATCGGACTATAATCACGAAACTCGTCCGCCATTTTGAAGCCGACATCTTGGATTTTTCATTTTCGACAAAAGGAATTATAATCTCTGATCCCGAAATCCTTCAGATGCCAATTTTGAATCAGATCAGACCATAATCAGAAAACCATATGCCACATTGGATTCACCATCTTGAATATTGAATTTTGATTCGAATCGGAACATAATCAATGAGAAAATCGTCCGCCATATTGGATCCGCCATTCTGTTTTTTCCATTCAATAATAATATCACAACGAATTGTCACCGGAATAATATTTACTTGCCAAATTTCAAATCAATCGGACGATTTAAAGTGAGTCAAATTTAACTTGCACGTTTTGATTACAAACAGACACAAGGACATGTTAAACTAAGTAAAAGCTTGTTATGTGATATATAGAACAAACAGAGTAACAGAAGAAGTGAAAATGGTATAATCATCGGAGTCAAGCAACAAAGAGCGCGGTTAGTACTTGAATGGGTGACCGCTTGTGTCTACCGTTTGATGGAGTCGTTTATTTCTCTTTTTTTTTTGCTTGTCTGCACTTTGTTGCTAACTTCAGTGCACAGGTGAAAATCAACTGAAACTATGTGATTTTTCCGTAATTTGAAAGATCAATTTGAGGTCATGGACCAAAAACACCTAAAAAAGACTTCTTAAAGACGTACATATTAGTGGAAAATGTACGTTTTAAAGACGTCTTAAAGACATCTTAAAGACGTCTCTTGATGGGCGTAATATGTACGTCTTTAAGACGTACTTATGTCCTGACATGTACGTCTTAAAAACGCCTTATTTAAGACGTACTTTGGCTGATTGGGTAGGCATATCAGGCAATCACCAGTACTTTTCGAATTATCTTAAAAACGATCGAAATTTTACGAGACACAAAAAATACTCAAACATGATTGAACACTTGAAGGAAAATAGATAGGAAGTCATTAGCGCACGCACAAAAAAAACATGGGGGTAAGTGTGTACTTGACCCCCAGTATTTTGAATATTTGACAGTTATTTTCTGTTATGTTTTCCTCACACGATGTAACTCTTTGTGCTGAAGTAATGTACCAATTTTGAGATCAATATCTTATCAAATACGTACGCGAGTAATTATAAAAAAACAGTTTTTAATTTCCAACTTTGACACCCTGTATATCGAATATGAAGGGCTAAAATAAAAAATGGTATTTAGAAACTCATATTGTTTTTGTTCAAGGAATATGTGGTTAATGGATTGACCTCCTTTTAGCGGACACCCTGTATATAATCAGCTGCTTATTCTACATCATGAACTTTTTATTACTATTTATTTGTTGCTACCTTTAGCGCTTTTAGTGTTGATATTGCTTCTGCCCTCTTCATGGAAAATCGACATAAATATTCCTTCAATTGGAACTTTTTATATGAAAAATCCAAAACCCACTATTAAAATTCAATGTTTTAGTGATTTTTGAGCATTTTTGAAAAAGTTATATGTATACATCATATATTATTTTGAAGGGAAAAGAAATCATGAATTTAATGAACTTATAAAATACAGTGTGATTCATTAAAAAAATCGAAAGTTTCAGATGAAACTGCAAAACCGTACCCTGAAAATAAAATTAGTGCGCGGAGCAAAAGCACAAAGCACAGCTCTCGAACTTTGATATTGTAAAAAGTTGCAATATTTGACCCCGTTTATTTGCTCTCCTCTCTTTCAAATGAGAATATCTCGAAAATTGGTATGGTTGGAAAATCGGAAATACTACCGACATCTAGTGCCCAGTATACAAACGTCCTATGAACATAGCAACCTTGACGACAGCAGGGAACTGACGACAGTCTGCGTCCTCATTTTACAGTTTCCTTCAGAAAGATTTCTTCCCTACGAACATGGCATCATCTTTTAGTATAGTAACTTGCATATAGATGGCAATCCAATCCAATAATTCGCAACAACACGTTTGTTCATTCATTTATACACCAATATTGAATTTTATCTTTCATTATGCTGGGTTTCCCAGGTAGAACATCATATTGGCTAGAACTTGGTTTCATATTAGCCCAATATTCGAATATTGAATATGGAATTACCAGATCGCACCAATATCAAACCAATTTTTCATTTCAATATTCGATCATCAATCCATTGCCAATATTTTAATAACATTGAAATTTTGTGACCAGCCGATATCAATTTGTCAATATTTATTTGATATTGGAGGAATATTAACGATCACAATATGTCAATTTTCATGATGGGCTGATATTGCATTTCCAATATCAAATAGATCTTGGAAAAAAATATTGACTCAATATCCAATTTATGATGGTTAGTGAATATTGCATTTCATTGTCCAGCAATGTTGTAATAACATTGAAATTTTGTTTCCAGCCGATATTTATTTACCAATATCTATTCGATATTGGTGAAATATTGACGATCACAATGTCAATTTCCATGATTGGGCTAATATTGTATTTCCAATATTGAATCAATCATGGAAAAAAATATTGCATCAATATCAGATTTATGATGGTTGGTGAATATTGCTCTTCGTTGTCCAGCAATATTGCACTGATATTGGTGATTCAATATCATTTCGATATTCAATAATCAATCCAGTGCCAATGTTGTAATAACATTGAAATTTTGTGACCAGCCGATATCAGTTTGCCAATATTTATTTGATATTGGCGAAATATTAACGAATACAATATGTCAATTTTCATGATGGGCTGATATTGTATTCCCAATATCGAATCAATCTTGGAAAACATATTGTATCAATATTTTGTATTTGTATTCAGCCAATATTAGTTCATCAATATGCGACCCATTTCAGATAGATATAACTAATGAAATATGCCAGAACCAATATTGCACTGACATTGGATTTCTAATATCGAATCGATATTCGTGATATTTCTCTTAGTATTTGAGCTACGTTATAACAGCTGGCGCCACTAGCACGCCTCCAACAAACGACTGCTGAGAGACATCAAATACCGCATTCGTTCAACTTGCAAACTAAGTATTCTGGGATACAGGATACGAAAATGGATTTGATATTGTACAAATATCGCAATTTTTTAATGAGGCTAATATGGCTTCGAATTTTGATTTCGAGTTTTGTGTGGTTTTGTTGAAAAACGAAATTCAATATTGGTTGAATATTATAATTCAACATGAAGATTATATTGCAAAATAATCACATCCTCATTTTAGCCAATATAGTAGAGGGGAATATGAATTCAATATCGATTTCACATATGAAAATCATAAGAAACCAGTTTTCTATAAGTTGGCATCATATATTTGTCCAATCTTGTATACGAATATTA